CAGAGTACGCTCCTGGACTCACATTAAGAGGAACGTTAACTGAATTATATGCACTGAAAACAAAAAACAAGAAAAAAAATATCCATCAAAATAGGAGGATTGCAAGTTTATGAATAAAAATAAAATAATGGTTGACTATTAGTGTGCTTGTTTCGGTGTGTGCCATGAAGTGCTTAGGTGAAAGCTTCAGTACCAATGGTATGCATGTAACTGATGGGGGACTGTCTGTAGTAGTAATAGGTTCATGGGATAAGAGATTATCTCTCCTCTTACGGGACAGTTATACCTAAATGTATACCAAGGGATGGATGGATGAAAACTCTTATGTTTCTAATATGCATGTAAAGTATACCTGACCTCTGGGTTAAATTTAACTAAATGTATATCATGTGAGGTGAACGCTCATATTTTTTTATACGTCCGTAACGTACACTTGATGCTGGAGCGACGCATACACACCAATATACTCGTGGTTATGGCTCCCGAAAAAGCACATCCACTCTGTGGGTTCTGTGTGCCTCGAAAGAATACTCTTTTCAGAAAGGCGAATTGGCGTCCCTAAGTGAGGATGGAATAACCTTTACGGCTGGAAAACCAACGCCAACGATCACCGGCAGAAAGTCCTTTAGATTCGATAATCATAAAAACAGCGTATTCTATAATCCTCAGTGGCCTTTCTTTTGTAGTTATAATGTTACATTTCTATAGGTGAATCTGGATAGATGGACTTTAATAGGTATTTTTCAGCCAAAGTAGCTCATTTTTCATACTCACATACCTGCATCGTCCTTGAGAGCAAGAAATAAAATGATCTCTTTTTATTCAGTGTGACCCAAATTAGGAAATCTGTATTTCGACGAATCCATGATGATTTTCGGTATAAAAATCTGTATAAGGAGCGAACTGATGTTCATTAATTATGCATCAAGGAAAAGGAACTGTGGAGTCACCTTTGCCTTTTATATGCACTTAGTTGACTGTTGACAACGAATAAATTTATTAAGAGTTTTATGTAGGTTTACATTTTCGTCACAAATGATGAAAATACCATAGATTAACACTAAAGCCCTCGAATATTGATTGAAGCACTATTTTTTTCCAGATCGTTTATCAAACAGTCCACTAAAGGATCTCTTTAGCGAACCCGTTACAATATCAATCCATTGATAGACCGTTAAAAAACCTGAATCGCACGATGAGGGTATATTCCATAAGTAATCTTTCTAGATTTTTGTTTGGCATACAAACAATCAAAATCCTACACACAGACCCTTAGTGGATTACCAATCTTTTTCTTTGCTCTCTTCAAAAGATCAAAGTTTTCGTTTTAATGTAGTTACATAAAAACATGCCTATGTTAGAGAAACATTTGTAAGGAGTAGAGGAAAAACCAGTGATGTTATTATTATTCATAACTGAATTAACAAAAATGAAGAGATTCAGTAAAGTATATTCGTTTTTATGAAATATGACCGACTGTAAAATTTCAGCTAACCATTTAGCAGTCAAAGGTGCAGTATGAAACGTGGAAGAACAAACTTCTTATGAATTTCTGTTGGGGTCGATTTAATCTTACGATGACAGAACTAGATGGTCTAAGATGGTCATGCAGATAGCCGTTAATGATAGACTCATCTTTTTTCTATTTTAGATTTTTGTTAACACTTGCACAGCATTCTCAATTGCATTTTTTAGGTGCTTTCTTTAAAAGATTTGCTTGCTTCTGATAATAACGAGGATCATTCTGAACAACATCATCAGCACAGAAGAACAGAGCAGTTTAGAAGAACAATGAAAGCTTCACAAATAAAACGTCCAGCTCAGAGAATGAAACACCGCCACAATAATCCATCTAAGCTACAAAATTTCTCCACGATCTCAAAAAGTATAAAAATGTTCCCATCTTTTTCAAATAACTGCATTTAACAACTACACAACTTATAGAAAGCTTCATATTATCATACGTAATTATTATTGTCCTTATTTTCAAAAGTATACTTCTAATAAATGCTGTAAACTGTTATAATAAATGAATGGTCATTAACAATCTTTAGTTATTTTGTAAAGTTTGGGTTAATTAATATACACGTTTAGACGATTTGACTGAAATGATCATATTTATCTATTTAGAGAAATATCAGTTCAACAGATTAACATTTTTCCCATTATCTTGGTGTATTATTGATAATCTTAGATTCTATTTACTTGTAAATTTCATTTACCAGATGACTGGAAAATTAACATTGTACTTCTCAAGGAAAATTATGAACGTTTATCTTTACAAAACAAAAATGCAGTATGAGTTTAAGAAAGAATTTCGAAACTATTTCTAAAACCATCATTATCACCAAATAATTGATGTTTTTAAACTTTATTGTTCGCCGTCAATCAAAAGACTTCCCGTATGTTTCTTTCTCGTATCATATTATTAGTTTATAAATGAAAAAAAACTATGTACAAAATGTGTACGCATTATTTGAAGTAGCTTTCATTAAGAATAACAGTAGTTAAATAACTAATTCAACTAAAATGTAATATAATTTATCAAAATATCCTTGATTTATTTATTGAGTACTAATTCAAGTACTTATAGTTAGGCATATCGGACCTACATCGAGCAATACTCTATACTATCAGCATATTATATAAACATGCTAGCTTACATAGAATAAATAGTTTATAACAATGACAAACAGGATACTTTACAAACAGAAACACGACTAAAACGATCAGTTTGTTTTTACTTTTTATTCTATTGTGTATATATATGCTCAACAAGCCATTGATGCCAGCTCTAAATATTCAACTATCCCTTCAATGATATCAATAAGATAGTCGATGAAGATTTCAGAAAAGAAAAAATATAGAATATATCAAAGTACAAATTTTCTCTTTATTTATTATTCATTTTATTCATAGAATTTCCTATACAAATATATTTATATATAGATATATATATATCACAACTAAAAACTAATTTTTTCTCTTTATTGTTAATTTGCATTTCTTAATCAAATTCTGTAATAATGATAAAACCATGAATGTGCAAAAGAACGAGCGAGCGAGAGAGTGCGCGCGAGAGTTAAAAACTGATTTTGATTGATTGTAACAGGTTAAAAATTGATAATAGATAATCTTCAGAATATGCATTTTATGTACTATTCATCACAATATTGAAAAAAATTTATTAATTGTTCAACATTAAATGTTTTTCTATTTGTATCAAGAATTAGCTGCTGTTGATAATGATTGTGACGATTAGGATATTGTTTTTAATGGTTCTGTTTTTATCATCAGTATTAATAACATTGAGTAGGTTGTCTGTATCTTTGTGATTGGATTTAAATCATTTTCACATGAAATTGATGTATTCATCTGATTGAAAAATTCGATCTCCTTTCCCTTTAACGGTGGAATATTTTTTACTTAAAAATAAAGTACGTTAAAGAAAAAGGTGTACACATTACGCAGTGAGAAAATGTCATTAAATATCACGATATTCATAGAAGAAGAGTCAGCTGGAATATTCTTTTGTATGGTCATAATTTTACCCAAACACACAAAAATACAAGAATGAAACGGAATAATAAATGGAGAAAGAAAATGTGTGATGATTCTTGATAGTTTATTGTTTATCGCATCATAAATTTGATTGATTCTGAAAGTGTAAAAGATTGAAATTGAAACGGCAGACAAGAAAAAAAAGATAGAATAGAAATTATTCATCACAGAAGGCATTTGGTAAATTATTATAATTATTACAGACACTGAATAACAGTCAAAACGAAACAACTGAAATATAAATGTTTATTCACAAAAATTACAAAAAAACAAAAAAAGAATTGGAATATTTCCAGATATTTAGAAAGAAAAAAGAAACAAACAGTGAACTACATTTTAAATGGCAATACATCTAGGGAAAGAAAACAAATACAAGAGAGAGAACGTTAAGAATTTTATTTTTAGATGTGTCACAGTCAACGAATAGATGATCATGAAAATTGACTGAAATATTATTCATTAATTATACACACTAATAATACTTTGGTAAAATGACACTTGCTGTTCATCAATATAGATGAACCAATAAACTGTGTGTAGAACTAAAAGGATGAATGGTAGTGAAACTTTGTAATAAGCTGACCATAGTTAAGAAACCTTTGTTGCAATAAGTTAACATTCCGGAAGTATCATCTATTATTCTCAAACACAACTGGTTTTAAAAGTTGCCAATACTTTCAAACTGCACTCATTTATAAAAAATATCTATAGATAAACAGAATCAATACAAACTAAGTAATATGCATATTGATATACTGTTCTTTAACAGTGATCACTTTGTTTTACACCATTAAATTTTTTCTCAAGAAAGAAAAGAGAACTTTTTAAAAAGGTTGAAAAATAAGTTGAATTTTAAAAAAAAGGAGGTCTCTCACATGTAAAACAAATTTGAAAAAAAATGATAGACGAGAAATTCAACAGAAATACTTCAAAACATCATAAAGTATGTATTTCCTTACCGAAGCTGCCTTATGTCTAATAGATAAATTGACTGAAATACCAAAAAGGCATTAGTAGTAGTAGAGTTAAAACCAAGAAAAAAATGATAATAAAATTCAAAAGAATTAGTTAAAGAAAATCTGAAACACATAAGAAAGACAGAACTGAAGAAATAAACATGTCATGCTGCAGAAGTGTATATGTGTGTCTGTAAGAAATTAGAAATAAACATACTGTAAGCTAAACTAATGGAACCTAATGGCTATATCACACAAATAGGATTCATTAGCTTTCAGTGAAGAAAATACAATTTGTCATGATCATTGAATTCGTATACAATATAATTTTGTATAAGTTTACGTTGCTACTTTTGTCAAATACCGTTCAGTTATTTTTGGTATGAAAGGAAAGTCTATGTTTATATATTTATGATATTCACAAGTAAGTAACCAATAAATTAATAAAATCAAGTGAAAGATTCAATTAAAATATGAAGTTGGTTTAGAAACATGCACAGCCTGCAATAGATTATTAATAATTTACCAATTCAGTGTTTTTCATCCCTTTTTTAATCAATATTACATTTCGTTATATTTTGATCTGACATAAAAGAATTCACTGAACATGACGCTGGTGTACCAATATTATCTGAGGCTATTTCATTTCTTTCATCGACTATTTGTAAAATAGGTTCATCATTTTCGGATTCTGAGAAATGTGTGTCAATAATTTCAGATTTTGGAATTTCTATACAATAACTAGAATCATATTCATTCGTTGTGGAATTGGTTGTTGGTGTAGTTGACGTTGTTGTTATCTTTGTATTTGTTTCTGTTATAATGTCGTGAGTGTGTTTGGGAATTTTTCCAGTTGAATTTAAACGAACTGAATTATTTGTTCGATTTTTAAGTCCTAAACGACCATCACATTCTTCCTGGTCATTCGAACAATTTCTGTGTGATTTGAAAGATTCTTGCATAGTTGGTGAGTTTCTTGTGGGATGTTGTCGACTTCTTTGGTTATTAGCAACTCTTCGAGCTTGAACACACACGTCTGTCATACATAAATTGATGGATCCAGTTTTCAGTTGAGGATGTCTTTGACGTATGAATACTAGAAATAAATAAAAGCAAAACGGTTATCGATAATTCTTACCATTATTAAAATACAAAATAGACGAAGTATGGTTAACAGTGAAATTTAGGCTCTATGTTATCCTCTAATACTAATCAAAACCAGGGGATAATCCAAATCATTGCAAATGAAATTGCATTTTTCGGTTTGATCAGAAACATTTTATTTAGACCATACATGTTTATCGCTTGCACTCATAGTCTTCTAATGATTAAAGAAGCTTGTGCTGTATTACACTTTACTGACCTAATCTTAGATTGCTGACACCAGTTCATTTCTCGTCTTATGTATCTTTTTACATGAAACTCTATAAACCTTCCTAAAGCATTCAAATATCAATCTGAATTTCCGTCAACTTGTTTCAAGTGCATTTTGATCACTTTCAATTAATTACCATCAATCTTTAACTAACAAAGTACATTTCAAAAACACGGTTGAAAATAGAACATCTAAAATGAAACGATAAGATACACATATCTACCATTAGATCTTTGTGTAATACTAACTTCGTTATCAATTTATTTATCAATAATAGTAACAATCGTATAAAATGTTATCAGAAAGTTGTCAGAAACTACTCAAATATCTACCATCATTTTTCGTCCACTCAGTAAAAACTCCGTTTGTCATTAGGTTTGTAATTTTTGATTCTACTAAATAAAGTGCTAAAGTTGATCAGAATAATTTAAATCATCTTCACTGACATCAGCAACAACAACAATAATAATAATAATAACAAGGAACATAAATGTATGCAAAAGAGAACAATAATGACAGAATTACAGAGAAAAGTTAAATTTATTTATTGCTTTATTTATGTCATTTTTGAAAGAGAAATGTTTTTGAAATTGGTTTTTCTTTTCAATACTGCCTAACAGGAAATGGAAGAAATTTACAAATGCAATGAAGTGAGATGGAAATCTCATGTAATTTTATTTAATTATTCAAATTGTGCGTGTTCTTTAGTTATGTAGATCTTTTTTTTCATTTTCCCTCTTATTTTTCATGATTATATATATATGTGTTCAAGGTTGTTTATAAACAAACATAAATAATAGTCATATACGTGTAAATGAAATTGTGAATAGAAAAAAAATTTTTTTGCAAAAACAATTAAATTTTTTTTCTGCATGAAATAATTTTTGTTGAAGAAAATTAATTGATCTTTGTTAAAAATTATGACATAATGAACACGATTTCCGGAATGATGATCATGATGATGATGATGATGATGTCGATGATGAGGATACTAAGATTAAAAACGAAAAACACTTAAGTGTGTCTTGTAGAGTTAACACTAAGAATAATAAAAAAAATGATTGGAATAATTGGTGTTATCCATTAATAGTAATTCTTAGTAAAATGCAATTTAACAAGGAATATTTCCTCTTTCTTATAAGTCAATTTCACTAAGTAATATTGTAATTAGCTACTAGCAACCACCTCAAAAATATGTATTTAACTTATTGGAGTTGATTGGTTTAAGTGATTCAACCATCTTGGAGAATGCAAAGCAATTGGAAATTCGCTCTCAACTATAAATCATCCAAGTCATCATATAATATTTACGGCTGTTATCATTTGATTGAGTTGGTGGAAAGATGTTGAATTTAGTACACACTCCTTCAAACTACTTACAAGTACTGTATGCTCTTGTTTGGAAATAAAGGCTTTTTATATTTTACTTAGAACTGTGAACAGTCTCAAAATAATCGATTAAATCAGTAGTTGCAAGTTGTATGTAAATAAAGGTAAAATGACTACAAACGACAGTGAACTCTAACCACAAAATGATCTTTTCTATGTTTTGAGAATTGACTGCAATACGTTGCAATATGTCTCAAAAATTTATTTGTAAATGGATTAGTAGCCAACTTATTTTATTTCAATCTGCCATAAATTTGATTAGCACAAACTTGTCAAAGGTGGATTCCACATAAATATCCAAAACTGAGTCTATGACCAATATCATCTCACTGAGAATTTCATAGTATTTCTTCATTAAATTATACCTGCAAAATTTACAGCTGATTTTTTTTAAAATTCATTTGCGTCGAAAATAATAAACATTATTTTACTTTCAAAGTATAATTTTCTGAATATTTGACATTCAGTTGTTGCTTTTTTCCTTATTAGTTTTTTCATTTAAAAAAATGTGAAAAATAAACGGATGAGAATAAAATACCATCTGACGTATAAACTATTTGCTCAATGAAGCTGAAACTAAAAATTATTATAGGTTATTCTTTTTTCTTTTTATTCATAAAAAAAGTGGAATTCTATTGATAAATTTATTCATGTGATTAACTATTTCACTAAATCACCCCATTTGTAAGCCATCTAACATCGATTAATGTCATATTCTTAACATTTGTTCCTGTTTGAATAATCTTAATTTATCTAATATTAATGTTGTAATCGCCAACTCATTATTATTTCTAATTGATAACTATTTATTAAAAATTCATCTATTCATGTTTCATTTACTACTTGTAGATGCCTATAGTGTTAAATAAATTGCATAAAGCAAATGTAGAAAGCTAAATATACGAAATAGAATGTTTAACTATATTCTCAATTTTATTGATAGTTTTATTTGTCCACTAACTCCTCTTTCATCATTATCATTTGTACCATGATCAATTGAGATAGACAATAATAAATCAGAAAATGAAAAAAGACTTTATACCAAAGTGCTTGCTTGCTTGCTTGCTTGCCTACTTACTTTCGAACAGTGATAGTTTAAACATTCAACTTGATTTCAATGTTGTAAGATAATTTACAAAAATTCTTTTAAATTTCATGACAGAATTATTATTATTATTATTAATCTATGATATATGAATGATCAGTGATAGTACGGTGTTGTATATATATTCATACTATCGAAAAGAGATTCAAAGCTAAATAAAACAGTTTTTATTATTCGTTAAAAATATATATTAGGTAGTTTAGGAGTAAATCTGGATGAAATGCAAATCAGCAATCAATGATAACTTATGTAAGGTGTGAAAGAAATATTTTCAAAGCTAGGTTATTTTTATTAATTTTTCTAGTTATTCAAATATTAAGATTTCGAATTCAAAAATAAGTTGCCTTTAAATTGAAAGAAAAAAAATTTAAAAAGTCAAGTACTGAAGGATACCTGGTATGCAACTATTTCAATGTGATATATTTTCTTAAGCAACTCAGAAAAATTCAATGAATGGGGATAAGCACTTTTGATTCGTGATAAATTGTTTCTCAGTAAAATTACTTCAATTAACAAATATTCATGTCTCATAAAGAATAGTTAAAGAAAGTTCTTTATTATGATAATTAAAGCCCTTCCAAAAATCTCACTATTAGCTGTAATACTACCTAATATTGCCTCCTGGAATTATATAGATAAGATCTAAATTATATAACCATAATTGATTTGCCCAATTAAATAAGACCATTCAACTAGAGTCAACTGACTCTAAAAGTTTCATAAATAAAGCAGTGTAAAATGGAGATTTTATGGTTACCAGAAATAAATTTACAATTCAAGAGTTTATTACAGACTTTCAATCTTGTCAGGTTACGAATACTGCGTGTTCTATTTTGAAACTTTTTACAATCAAGCATTATCGTTTTTCAAAAGAATAGTTCAGACATACCCGACAAAAGCATCGAAATGAAACTACTTCCACTGTACCCAGTGATCAAATGAAATTTTTTATACATTGTAATGAACAAGATTGTTGTAATCTTAGAAAAAAAATACACCTTTACATTACTTTCATCTCAGCTCCTTCATTACAGACATACATAGTTTGTAATTAAGCAACTTAATAACAAGTTAAACACATTTTAGTAAATAAACATCTATTGTGTTTACACAAAATACATTCTGGTACAAATCCTTTCAGTTTTTGATATCAATAAAATAACATACCTAATTTAATTAAAATTTATTTAAACTGAACCTTAATAAATAAATCTAATCACAAAAAATGTTATAAAATATAATTCAAATCTTTTACTTTGATAAAATTACCCTTGGTCTAATACATAACCTAATATGAAATACATATTTATAAAAAAATAGAAAAAAACACACACCAAGAAAGCAAATACCGTTGTATATGTTTTTCTAAGAATAATATTCATAATAATAATGAAAGGTTCAACGGATAAAGTTTTACAGTAAATAATCATTGCATGTGAACAAATTCATTAGAGTATTTTAATTTAACCGCCATAAAAAAAATTCTTTATCAATAAACTGACTCTTATCATGATTTAATTTTAACTAGTTTAAGAATGCATTTAATTACGACAATATTATGTTGTTGTTTTTTATATGATTATGAAACGTCTAATAACTATTGTTAATAGGTTAAATCAACTATTAAAAAAAACTTATTGATTATTAGACAGTAGTTTTTAACAAGTCTACTAAAACTTTAAAACTATCTAATGTATTCTGTACTAATTTTAAATTATCATAATTTTCTACAAATTTCAGTGAAACAAATCAAACTAATTGAAAATATAAAATTTTATTGGGGAACGAAGAAAAACGAAAACAACTAGATACCGTAAAGTATAGTTAATCTGACTTGTAACTATCACAAACTGACAGTGATTTATTGTATCAGTCAATCATCATCAAAGCAGAGCCTGTCAAAGATATACATTGGCATAAGTCACTACATTGTATTAATAAGACAAGATAAAAATAACAAGACGAATTCCAAAAATGATTGAAGTAAAGATAATCAAAGAAAAAATGAACACATGGACTACGGTTTCAAAAGACAGAGTGAAAATATGTACGAGAAGAAATGTTAAAATGTGAAATTGAGAAGAACACAAAATTTGAATGCATCTACGCTTTTCTGAGAGATTTTGAGTTATTTTACCCGATATCTCCAACCAAAGTTTTCATGTGGACCATAACCAGATAGTTTAAATCTATTTTTGTGTGTTAGACCAATCGTGGTTCACCTCATGGACTGCTGTCATTACCTAGTTTGGCCTCCCCTATGTTTCTCCCAACATACCATAACACCAGTGATCAAGTATGTGTGACAAGTGATCGAAATACCTCAGATGATGAAGACTTATATCCTCATCAAGCACATTTTCACCGCCTACTATTCTATGCCTGACATCATCATTGGTAAACCAGTCATTACAGGTAGAGCGAGTAATCCTTTGGAGATCCATTTTATTAAAAACCTGCAGTGCAAGAACGTTTTATGCTTTCATGGACTAAGTTTAACAACCGTGACGTCATAGACAGAAGACTGTTGTCAATTATACACTGTTTGGCTGATAGACAGACATCTTACCTACGCTACAGTTGGGGGAACCTAGTAACAATCGATCGAAGTTAGTTCCGTGACTTAACTTAGCTCTAAATAAAATTTGATAAACTAATCACTATAAAGCTTCTAAGTGACTTTCGAATAAGTAAACAGTTTATATTCAAAGGATCTCTCGTACTCTATAATAATCTTAGACTAATATAATGGTTCTTGTTTGTTAATCAATAATTCCTTAAGATATTCCAATTTAATAAACTACCAAAGACCTGTATAGAAGATAGAGAGACACGGTCGATGAAATATTCCCAAGTTCTAATGTTCGAGTCTATATTCTTATTAGCTAATATCACTTCTCAATTCACCGTTTGGTCGCTGATCAGCTCAAGAGAATAAATAAATACTTCCGAAATCTGATGACACAGTAACACGTAAAAGTTACTTGGACAGTGAGAATTCGCTAACAGTAAACTATACATTCAAAATTCAACATTCGAATACTAATGCAATCTAGTTTCTATCACCTTACTTAAAACAAGTTTACATTTATGGAAACTGAAAACAAGCAACCCATATCTGGAATATTAAAAGCACTTTGTTTGCAATCATGTTTAATGAATACTTTCGGAAGACACAAGTAACCACCACCGACTTAGAAAATAACATTTTGGAAACTCAAGTATCGCAGAATGAACTTATGTAAGAAAACTTTAGGATTGTGAACTGTTCCAAGATATCTCATTAACCTGTACACATAAAAACGTTATTTGCTTTTAACACCAGTATAACTTTTGTTACTCTGAAATATGATATACGTTTGTCAACATTCTTTTGTTCGCTGTTTTACTTTGTCTGAGATACTGACAGAGTGAAATTAAGATGATCGTCTATTTATGAAAACCTTTAAGCACCGAAATGCCCTTTCGTTTTGGTAAAAGATTCCTCACAAGTGCACATCCACGACGCCGATGATGAAGACTGAACCTGATACACTTGGTATTGCACAAGAACACAACCTCCACAACTGATAACCCATTATTAAAGCGATAATTGTGTCCAATCACGATTTCTAAATAGATAAAAATTATTTAACTAAATTATCACTACATAACGTTAAGGACAAAGTGATTTTCTTTTCAAGTGCATAAAAATAAATTTATTTTTCAAAAATATTCAAAATTTACATACACACATTCATATTTGAACGTATAATTATTTGGTATTATTATGGTTATTATTAATATTTCAGTTACTAGTAAAGTAAAATATTATAACGAAAGAAAATTGAATGAGTGTAAGAAATAAGAATAAAACAAAAAATCTTATGACTTTATATATAAAAAATAATTGATAAACACTATGATTGTTACTTATACTTAACAGTGTCACGATTGTATTTTAGATAATTACATATATAATCATGCTGTTTTATTAAACTACATTAGTGAATGAACTGAAAGAAGATAGTGACAGAAAAAAAAGAATCGTAAAATGTACTTTTCATCTTTCTTTTTCGACTTTTTTTGGTATTAAAAACCATTAATTTATTCTATGCAGATTTATGAGAAGGACAGAATTATTAATTTTGGTTTTAATAAGTTCCATTACATTTTATTGCAATTCTTAGTTGTTTAACAATGTTGAGAAATAGGAAATAAAAATGGTTTTCGAAAATTTATTATTTATTTAAATAAAAAATAACAATTTTTGTCTTTTGTTATTAACTTTCATGTTAACTGTATTGGCTTTAGCTCGACTGGGAAATCATAACTCTTGCACAGTAAAGATGAGATAGATGTCCATCAAATCTTGGACAGTAGATGGACGAAATGTTTCAGTGTGAATACAGAAGGAATAAACAGTCAGCATGTCATTTAAAAAGACTACAATTATTATCGTTCTGACACTGATTAGTCTACAGTTTCTACAACGTATGTGTTCATTTAGTTTATTTCATTGAAGATGCTTGTCAAACTTGTGACAAATGAGGTGATTTTAGGACAAAAAACTCATCTCTGAATTATAGCGATTTTAAAAAGAAAGCACGATCAAAAATATGTATGTAGTGGAAGAACCTAACCACAATTACTCAGAATATTGCACTAATTTTGAAGTAATTAGCTACCTGTTAAACTAAGCGACAAATTGATAAATCGCTTACAGATTCCAACCAGACTAATAATTATTTGTTATGAATTGCATCAGAAGAACATCGATTTCTTCAACTTATAATGTGAAATATTACCCATTTCCGTTTTTATTTTAGATTTCCTCTTTAAGTAATCTATTTTTTCTCGATATGAGGTTATGTGACTTAAATCAATTTGATGATACACAGTACTCTTCCCTAAATGACCCAGCTACTAGGGACATTCATATCAGTAGAGTATCATCAACATTATGGTTTTATATACATTTTATATTTCTAAGAATAAGAAAGAGCCTCGTTTTCAAACAATTTGTGAATTTTTTATTAACTTGATAAAAAAAATAAATGTAATTTTTTTATTATTTATTAACAAATAAATGTAATCGTCTACTTACTTTTAATTGCCTCTGTTACACTTGGTTCAAGGCGTTGTTTATAAATGCCTTCACCGGATAATGATGAAGCAGCTAATTCATCTTGTGTAAAAAAACTTTTCATCAATAATCTGATTAATCGTGTAGCACTACCAGATGATTTGACAATTAAACTATAAAATATATCTTTAGATAATTTCACATTTGGATGCGCTTCAGATAATAATATTTGACTCTATATTGTAAAGAAAAACAAAATAAGAAAGAACTTTTTAAAATCAATATTACGAGACAAAAGGGTATAATATTCTTTAACATAATAATGACTAAGTTACATTTAAAACGACTGAAGCATTTAAAGAAGTGATGAGCATCAAACATACATAAGTCATTCACATAGTAGATCAAATCCATCATAGTACCTAAGTCATACTGAACAAATATCATCAAATTAGAAAAAAGTTGTAATGATTAAGGTCCAGCATAGTATGAAAACATGCATTTAAAAAGAGGGTATATTTCTTTCCGTTAACTAAACAGTTTGGTCTAGTTATGAAAGTGATTTTCATGGAAAAACATTAGACAATTTATAAATATGATGAATAGTATCCTTGTCAGAGGATAAGTAAGAGTTAATCAATAAGAATGTCATTTATTAATTTCTGTTTTAATGTGTAACATTTTAATAAATGTTCCTCCTAAAAGTGATATAGATACGTGTGATTAGACGTAACATTTCATTTTATAAATTGCTCTTTTTAAGAAAAAAAATATTCAACTCTCATTTATTTTATCGTTTTTTTCTTTTCTAGTATCTTCATGTGATGTATTCTGTCTTCACATATATTAGTTTTCTGTTAAAGAATACGGTAAGCTATCTTCATCACATTATTGCGTGTTACACTTGTTACTGTAAATACAGACACTACCATTATTATTATCATTATCGCTTCTTCTTCTTCTGTCGCTTTAACTTTGAAATCAACTCAACGTGTACATGTTCGCTTTGGAATCATGTTATCCAACGGTTGCCTGCTGCATTAATCAGACTATAAAGCTTTATCATGAACAAAGAAACACTAGTTATACTTTTTTCTCACACACACACACACACAAAATAAAAAACTTTCGTACAAATAAAATTATATTTGTCTGTGCAGAAAAAAAAGTAATATATTTTTTTCTTTCAATTTGACATAGTTCTCTATTCTCTATATTCGCCAACTAGTTTATTTGTTCTGAGAATATGAACGCATTTGTTTTTTTGTTTTTTTTTTCTTCAGAGGAATGAAAAATATAAAACGTAAGCTTGTCGTTCCCTAACAATTCGATGTGTAAATGTGTGTGTATGCGAACAATTTGTATAACCAAATAAAATTTAGGCTAGGAATACCATTGCTATCGTGTTGTTTTATTTTGTAATAAGTTGAAATGAAATGAGGGAAAAAAAGACACCACCTAATACAAAAATAAACGTACACCATGAAGAAATAATGATGAATTTATCTTGACTACATCAAGCAAGAAAAAGACAAAATTCTGTAATAATAATAATAATAATCATACATCTAATATCAAAATGAACCATATAACTAATGATTATTATTTAAGTTAAGACAAAATGCCATCTAAAATAAATTTAATTAATGATATCATTTGTCATGATTATTATTATCTCTCTCTATTGAAAATTATACTATGATATATAAATGTACATATATACATATGAATTAGAAGAATATTGAGTGAAGGAATATCTATCTATACACACACACACTGTCACAAGCATACACCAAATAAAAAAGTTGTTTTTTTTTTAATGTTAAAATTCGTGTTTTACATGAATTAAGATTATCAATAATACTAATCATCATTTAGTATAATAATCATATATAAAGTATTAAAATAAATATAGAAATTGAAAATCATGAATAATGAGAAAATATTTTAAGAATAAATTGATACTATTAAATAAATAAAACAACAAAAAAAATAATGAAATGAATTTATTGCCTTTGTTGGATATAAGCATCAGTGCAATCAGTCCTGCAGTACAGTTAGCTAGTTCATTCATTCTTGGTTATTTGTGAGTATCAAGTTAAATGATACGAAAGCACAGTACATGCTTGTTGTCCGAATTTGAATCTTAAATAGTTTAATAAAATAAAACATCCCAATTCGATAGAAAGTTATTATTGGATTAAATATAGAATGACAATTTTTAATAAGACTGTCAAAATATATTCCTTTAATAATTGTAGTGATTTTAGTTAAACATACTATTATTTTGTGTGACATTTGTTACTCTAAATAATAATAATAATAATTTTAGATTTCTCATGTTTATGTAGACAATAATTTCAAAAGATCCATGTTGTTTAAAAATCAGGTAGCAGTAATTCTAAAATATTCAACAAGTGGTATGTGTTCTTTTTAGATTGTCTGTAAATAAATAATTCTTCATAGGCTATCCATTGGCTTGTTAAAGTTTATTACATAGTTCCTATAGTAAGTTAATTCTTCAGTTAAGTAACTAGTAGGTAATCTGAATAGGATAAACAACTTTTAATCAATATACAAGCTAATGGTGTTTATTAAACCATATAAAAAATTAATGAGTTGAACAGCGATACGGCGACTAGTAGCAGAATCAAGGACTTGGATGTCTTGTTCTATATCGGACTCATCGGCTGGATGTACCTGCTTCTGGGAATCAAAACCCGCCCCGGGACTGAAATCGATTACCGTTTACTCCAAACATCATTGATTTATCAACCTAGCTGCTGAGTCCATATGACCAATGACTTACAAAAAGATTCATATAGCCAGTTCAAAAGATTATAGTTATATATATATATATATATATAATATAATATATATATATATATATATATATATATATATATATATATATATAAAGAATAACCTGAGATTATGTTTAAAAGGAAGTAATTCATTCCATAATAATACAAGTCCTTTATTGGGATGTGCTAACTTGTTTGCACGACAACCAAACAAACAGTAAAACCTAAAAAATGAAATAAGTGACGGGAAAGAGTAGTGTAATAAGGGAGGCATGTATATATAAACTATTCAGTAAGATGTTGAGTGTTGGGCAGCTATCCACTGCAGACAGTGGATAAAGGTCGCGCAAGATCATGAATCGTTTGAATTTAGACATTACCACTGTTGCACACTTGTTCATCGGCCTAGATGTTAAACATCTGCGCATGAGACTGAAGGTCCTCGGTTCGATTCTCGAGTGTAAAGTTGTCAATCTACACTTAAGAAAAGCGTCAAAGAGATACGAGTCTATTGAATAATGGTTTCAAGATTTAACTAAGATCACTTCATAAATTAAACTATGCACAAAATTCTTGCTTCGTATTGTACCAATGCGATGCTTTAAAAATATCCAGTGATCAATCAAAGTAGTGAGAATATAATTTGTGAATGAACCGATCACGTTTGAGATAGTAAGTCACGGAATTTGGCTCGAAATTTATCCATCCATATGATCAAATAACATTTCGTTCTGTCAGTTGGTGACAAAAACCCCCAACTCTAATTCATAACGCTTACATCTAGCTCAAAATCCTGACTCTTAATCCTCATACTAGATTATAAACCTCTTTTAAAACTTAGTAAGTAGGTGGGTATACTCAGGGTCACTTTGACATCACACAAAGCTTGTCCGTAAATTCTAGACCTACTGTCAAAGCTCATACAATGAGTAGCACAAAAACATGTCAGTATACAATGGGAAAATATTAAACTGAAAAAGATAGAAAACAACCAACCAGTTTTAATTCTAATCACAAAAGAAATAAGTACCAAAATGTTTTTGAGTTAGTTAAGCCATTATAATGTTACACTGACAGATACTATAAATCATTCACAGTATATTGTGTAATATATATGTGAAATAAACTCACAGACTGATAATTTTTGAACTAAAGTAAAAATTTTCACACTAAAATATCTCTAAACTCTTTATTGATTATAACTATATTACAAGAAAACATAATACTAGACAGTGTCATGATTTTACTTCAGAAAATTTTAAATAGAATACCATGTTATTACCAACTTTTTTCAGTCATTTTTCTATGCATTGTTTTATTGAAATAATCATTCTCTAACGTAAAAATTCTACTTTATAGTCAACAAAATGAAAATAATGATATAAGAAATGTAGCTACTTCGAATGCTCACATTTATCGGTATATCATCAAATACACTGATAACAGTCACTAGTCCTATATTTCGATAGTATGAATAAAAGTTAATAAACTTCAAATTATAGGTTACAAACTACACCATCAATCTTTGATAAATCAGAGTATCCAATGGCTAATTTGATTAGAGTAGTTTTCTTAAGTAAGAAAGAAATTGTGATCTTTTTATGATTGCACAGTTTTTTGTCTTATTAAATGTAAATAATTACTGATAATTGTAATAAATGTAACAATAATAATAATAATAAGTCGGGTAATTCAAATTCATAATTATAACCTGCATCTGTTGTACTGATGAAACAACTGGAGAGAATGTTTTTTTTATCTATCTCATTTCCAGTGTGGTAGTGATTTTTTCTAATGTAAATTGTAGGTTATAAATAATGGGTGAAATCAGCATCGTCCTTTTTTGATAATTAAATTTGATTATAGGGATGAACATGATGGGACAGAAGGAACATCTCTACCACCACTAATACTACTGTGAAAAAAACTTCAAATGAATGCTGTATAAAACGCTCATCAAAATGATAATGGTAGTCTATACGTCTGTAAGAATGGAAGAAAGTTTTAATCGAAACCAAGAATAAATGCTCAATATACTATTCGTTCCTTGTTGTAGAAAACATTAAACTTTTATCTGTTTAAATTTGGAACATGTCAGGCTCATATGAAGGTTCTATCATCGATCTGTCATGAGTTTGTAAACGGTGAATGCTGAGAAGTTTAGTAATATATATTAAAGCTATTCAGTGTTTTTTCCCGGTTTATTTTTATTCAAATAATGATAGAAATTTACTTCAACTTGTAAAAGCTTCTCATGACAATAAAATGCAATTTGCTAGACAAGACATGATGGCTTTGAACTAAGCAAGCAACAGATACCGCCTATCATTAAACAGATAACCTTGTTGGATAATAAAATATCTAGCTTAACTCACGGATCGACTAAATAAGCCATGTTGAAGCTAACTGAACGGATATCGTCTAATAAAATAGAAAGTCTGTTGACAAACATGCAATTGTTTATTAGTTTAAACGAATATAATTGAAGAAAGGTTACAATCATTTAATTACCATTTTATTCAGTCTGATGGTTTTATCAAAACTTTTCAAAATGACCAAAAGAATAAATGATAATCATGAAATTTTCTGTTTGTCATTTAAATATAAACGAAAGATTTTAGGCTTCCTATTGAAAATTATCTTGGGTTTTAATAGAATTACATTTCAGTTAATGTCATTTTTGAGAAACAGTTGAAACTCAAAAGGAACTTAATGTCGGATTCGTCCTCATAGTCCTACCATAGATCAAACATATACATTTTTAAAACTAACAGCAAATTTAATATCATTTAGATCAGTGAGTTAAGATTTAAAGGCGTTTACTTTGAATTCAGTCAGTTTGTGATATAATAAAACATTTGTTGAATTTTAAATGTGATTTTGTGTCGTAATCATAGTTATTCAACAAAATTTCCGAAAAATTAGCAAATAATTCATCACGAACAAGTAAATGAGCTCCAATATGAATTCATAGGTTTTCAGTACTTTGATGTTGTTGTTAAAATAAAATGGCTAAACAGAAGTTCCATTACTTCATCCATATTCCGTATTTCTTCAGAGGATAAACAGTTCGTGAATAAAGTTTTTCCAACAGAAATGAAGATGACGTTTTTTAGTATCATTGGTTCAGAGAATGTCTACACATGCGAAACTCATAATTTCTTATCGATAAAAACATTAAAAGAAAATAACTTTTTTTAATCTTCCTAACAAAAATAAAATCTGGTAATTATGTTGTTAATGCTTCAAAATCACTTCAGTTCACAAAATCAATCTATCATAATGAAATTAGTGATTGTTATTGAAATAAGTGAAACGAGACAAACTATTTCAATTGTAAGAAGACAAAGTTTTATTTATAGTCAAGTTGTTTTTTTGATTCATATAAACAAAAAAGTAATTATTTCCTACGATCATCTTACTTTGATATTTTTTTTAAACTTTTTCAATTTAATGCATATTTATTGAATTTATTTCGATGTTATTTTTTGATTCTATTTGTCTACAACAATTTTCTGGCATTATTTCTCTATTCATGCCTATTTTTTTCTTTTGCACTATATGAAGAATTTTCCTATACTCTTATTTCAATATTATGTATATATATTTATGTATATCAATCTGTTTGAAGCGTAACATGACAAGGTTTAGAGGTTCAATTTGTTACGAAATAATAATACAAGTCATAGGCATGCATGTACATGCAAAGATACATCACAGATGCACACACAAACGCACATGTGTTCATCTCTGTGTGCGCAGACAATACACACATGATGTAGTTTGTAGACCATCATCTCTTGTTTGTTATGTTTTGTTTTGTTGTTTTGAAAATGAAGCGAAAAATTAAAAATTAACTTATATAATAATCCTTTGGGTTTTGATGTCAATTTTAAGCCAGACCTAATTCAATCAAGTCACTTTTTTCTAGTAGGTTTTTTAAAATAAAAAAAAAAGAAGCAAGAAAAATAAATTGAATTTTCAACTATCAAATTCTTTTCTTTTGGGATGAAATTATCTTTTCTCAAATTTTATGTCATTATTTAATATAATTTAGTTATATATATATATATATATATATATATATTTTCAATATTCAATTACGAATCATCCTATTCCACAATATTAGTCAATAGAAATATATGTGAAATGAGTTGAAGGAAAAAACTAAGAGGAATAACTGTATACATGTTTTGTTTTATTTTACAGTATCTTAATCATTTCATGAGATCTACTATTTTTAATCCCATACACATATATGTACCGTCAGACTCAGATTACTTTTACTAATCTTTCTCTTGTTTAATAGATCATTATGTATACTCAACTTTTAAGGCGTCACGTAGGCAATGAAGATTAACCCAAGAGACAAGTTACTATAGTGAGTTTAGGTAGAAATGAGTAATTACTTTCTAACATTGGTATGTTCATTTCCGTCTGTCTATAAATATATACAGTCATGTACACATGCTGTAAAAAAGAAATTGCTTACAATGTGAAGCGTAAATCTAATATGTACATGAAAGTCAGAAATTTAAAACAGAGAAAATTCTTCTTTTCTGTAGATATCTTTTTTTATTTTCTGGATTAATTTATTTAAATTCTTTTTTCTTTATTGAATAAATAATTACATGAATGAGACAGAATTTATTGATATAGAAATTGATCATAATTTTCAATTACTACGACTACGACTACTACTACTAACACCTCTTTCAATTTAATATTTATTCCCTAGCCAATCATTCAATCAATCAATCAATCGTTCATTGAAGCAAATTAAGAAAGAAGTAAAATTCTAATTAACTTTTTCGTAACCTCTAAAATGACTATAATTTTTCCTTTTCTTCAATTTGTTTGTATGTACAAGCACAAGTGTTCATATATACACGTGCATCAGTAGACAAGAGTTGGTTTACATTGTCGATTGCTTTTGTTCATATCATAAATATTATTATTTTTTACACACATATCTATTATTCGTTCAAGTAGAAAATAAATTGGCATAAAAGTAAAG